TCGACACATAGACAATGAATCCGGAAGAGACGGCATCCTTCTTGTCTCGGGTGACCTTTTGGTGGTTCAATTCAATGATATTTAAAGGATATAAGAAACCATTGGCCACCGAAGACATGTGGTCGTTGAGTGATGACAATAAAACCGGTTCAATACTTAGAGCTTTTGATAAGATATGGATTCCTAGCGTCGAGAAAAACAAAGAAGAGTCGGCAAAGAGGGCGTCGGACGGCGAGACAACTGTCACCCAAATAAGTCTCTTAAACGGCATAATAAAGACCTATTGGCCGGGAATGCTATTGGTTGCCATCATTAAACTGATAGCCAGTGCCCTTACATTCGTGAATCCCATGCTTTTGGACAAACTTATAAACTTTATGTCTCCCATGAGTAGTGAACCCGAATGGAGGGGTTATCTGTACGCCTCTCTCATGTTTATATCGCCATTCTTTGAGTCCCTCCTTAATAGTCAATACGAATATAGAATCAATACAATTAGTATGAGAATCAGAGCCTGTGTTATATCCAGTATATATCAAAAGGTAAGTTTTAAAAAATCTAATTAAAATATATCGAAGAAAAAATGCTTTATAAAACATTATACTATTTATTTTCACAGAGTCTAAGGCTTTCGAGTTCGGGTCGAAAGGACTTTACGTCCGGCGAAATAGTGAACCTAATGTCTGTCGACTCCCAGCGTATCGTCGAGTTTATCAATATGTTTAACCACTTATGGTCGGCACCCCTACAGATCATATTGGGATTAGTGCTGTTGTGGCAGCAGTTGGGTGTGGCCACTCTGGCCGGCATGACATTGATGCTGGTGTTGGTGCCCTTCAACGCCTATATCACCACCAAAATGAGATTCGTTCAAATGGCTATTATGAGGGAAAAGGATAAACGTGTTAAGTTGATGAGCGAAATACTAAATGGCATTAAAGTGCTTAAACTGTACGCTTGGGAGACATCGTTTAGAGATCTGGCCATGACTTACAGATCCAAAGAGTGTCTGTCACTCAAGTCGATGGCTTATCTCAACGCAGCCATGGTTTTCACGTTTAGCGCCGCACCGTTTTTTGTATGTATTAATTTATATAATAATTGTAATTAACATTATTTAACGTTATTTTAATTTTAGATCGGTTTAGCAAGTTTTGCCACTTTTGTACTCATTTCACCCGACAATATACTCGACGCCAACAAAGCTTTTGTTTCGTTATCTCTTTTTAATATAATTCGTATGCATTAGTCGTTATGTTTTGAATTGCAATAGATTTACAATTTTATATTTTATTAGGCATTCCGATGGGATTCTTGCCATTAATATTATCGATGGGAGCGATGGTTAATAACAATATTTCTCACTAAAATCAATAGATATTTACTAACTTTTTTTGGATCAGTTCTTAGTGTCGATGCAGAGGATCGACAAATACCTGAACGGCGATGAGATCGACGAAAAGGCCATTTCCCACAACGAAAACATCAAATCTCCGGTCGTTATCGAAAACGGATCTTTCAGTTGGAGTAAAGGCGAGAGTCCTGTCCTCCGGAATATTACCTTTCAATTGGGGAGAA